TGTGGACACGGTAATGAACCGTCGGGCTAAATAAAATAGTTGGAAATTCTTGACTAGCTACACAACTGACGGCTCCTCAAGAAGTTGTCAGATCCATCGAGTTAGACAAAATTTACATATTTTTCGCGTGTCTTTTAAATATAAATGAATTCCGTATCTGATATGGAAGAGCGATTCCTTTTGTAGAAAGGGTCACGGAAGGGCCCTTTCGTTGGCTTGAAATGGGGGTTGAATAGGGTTGCTTGTTTTATCGACCTGCATCATCCTACTCACCTTACATTCATTAATTTGGGGTCTGCTACCCCTTGCCTCCTACTGTTCTTCCCACTAGTCCATGAAGTATATACAGAGTGTCCCAGGAGGAATGGACCAAACTTCGGGAGGGTGTTCCTTATGTTAGAGTATGCCGATATAACCCAAAACACCTATGTCCAAAGTTGAACGGCTACGGAGATAATGGCCCGAGAAAAGTGTGGGCTTCTGGCAGGTCCACGCACTATAGTACCTGTCAGCTGAGACCCTTATCTGTTTGTCCTTGAGTGCTGTGAGTCACACAACCGTAAGCTCATGCGCTACCTACAGAGCCTACAGATTATGTTGCGGCGGGGTCGTGAATGGGTGGTAAATTAGTTGTGTGATAAGTTGCTGAAATGCCTCTTGTGTTTTCACACGTGGAATATTGTGATATGCATTTTGTGTGTGGATTTTGCGGTGGCAATGCACGTGCTGCTGTTGAAGAATACCAAAGGCGTTTTCCCGATCGAAGGATTCCATCTTGAAGTGTATTTACGCGAATTCACCAGACATTGCGTGATACTGGTTCTCTTGCAAGTGTTTCTGTGCACTCTGAAAGGGAGGATGTACGAATGATAGACACACGAGAGCACATTCTTGATATGATTCAGAGAAGTCCGCGTCTGTCACTCGTAGAATCGCCTCTCGCATCGGCGTATCACGTATTCAGGTGTGGCGAACTTTACATGATGAAGAGTTATTCTTACCATGATCAAAGGGTACAACATCTGGAACCCGGCGACCATGCACAGCGAATGGATTTGTGCCACTGGATAGAAAGCTCATCCCGAACTCTTAAGCGTCATTTTATTCAGTGATGAGGCGTCTTTTACCCTGGATGGTGTAAATAATTTACGAAATGTGCATACGTGGTTCCATAATAATCCACATGAGATAATGGAAACGAAATTCCAAAAGAGATTTTCCGTGAATGTACGTTTAATACAGTTATGTAGTCTGTTTATACCAGTATGTGCAGTCAGCCATATTACGTCAGCGCTTGCCAGTTGTGTGTCATGTATAGTGCTTGGAAACTCTAAGGACAATTATGACATGGCGAGCGAGTATTTTGTACTTCAGTTTTATGGCTTCACGTCACTCACAATTTAGTTTGATGTTACATACATTATTAACATTACAGAATCCACATATTCCTGCCAGTTTTAATATGTATTTCGTAATCAACAAGTGTGTAATAGCGGTCAAAGTTTCACAATTCTCTAGCCATTATCTCCGTAACCGTTCAACTTTGGACATAGGTGTTTTGTGTTATATCGGCATTATTTAACATATGGAACACCCTCCCGAAGTTTGGTTCATTCCTCCTGGGACATTCTGTATAAAGTAAATGTCGTATCGCGTGTTCACATCAAACTGAAGAACAGTTTCAGTTAAAATTTCCCGTGGGATCAGCCACGTCATTACATCGCTGAAGCTGAATCTGCTTGTGGCAGCCGCTGAACCGTCGCCACTGATGACGTAGGAGCAGTGTAGTGTAACCGTCCGAACCTGTCACAGTTCTCCGTGGACGTTATGGTCCTCTTTAGCCCTTTCGGAAGGGTGAATGCATTATTGGCGAGATCGATTTACTAGCATGTTATGACATGTTTTTCATATCTTGGCAGAAAACAACTGCCTTGTTTTATTTACATGTAGTTGTGATGACCGGAAGAGGACAAGGACACCACGGGATTCAAGTCTGTTATTTTCCGAAGATGTGAATTTTGTTTTGTTGACATGCGTAGCCGTCATAAAATGTCTTCGGAAGGGTGTAACTGAACACTAAACTAAAGAAAATAACCGCTCTCACTTGTGATGTTCCGAGTTTTATAGCTAGGGAACTATTTAATTCTCAAAGGTCTTCATGCGATTGGCTTGTGCTGATTGCATGATGAATTTGGTTACTTAAAATCGGCCAATTGAAAGTGAATTCTTGTCTCGGAGAGAGGCCGTCGATTCATATCCTTCTTAGGGGACGAAGCGAATCTCGCAGGTACCAGTCTTCAGAAACTTGGCCTTGCCGAAAGTGAAAATAAGTCGAAAATTAAATTACAGCTGTATCAGCGGGAGTTCGAAGGACAGATGATAGTTAGTTAGTTATTTAGAGAGAGTGGGTTTCCCCATGCACTTAGACCTGTAGTGGTCCATTGTGCTTCCCTCTATAATTTCTACCAGTCTCTATATCCTACCGGTATTGGTACTTACCATCAGTCCCGCCCAGCCAGCGGCTGAGATATATCTATAATGCTTCCCCCCATCTACCAGAGGTATTAGAGACTGTTGTTGGGCGGGAAACGTCCGCAATTTTATCTCAGCGACCCCCTTTGGAGATATGAGGTTCTTTTACGTGCCGTAAAGCTGCGACACGGGACACACGGCTTAAAGTCACTCCCGGAGGACTTATTCCCTGACTTTTCCGCCCTTAAAAATTCTACGACCTCCGCCGGGTATTTGAACCCGCGTACTACGAGTCATTAGGTGGGAACGTTACCTCTAGACTACGGAGGCCGCTTAGGACAGATGATAAGTACGGATAACGAAATTCTTTATTGCCGAGCGTGTGAGAAAACAGTTGGTTGTGAAAAACGCTTTCAAGTGCTTCAGCATTTGAAGACTAATATACACAAAGAGAATATTAAAATTAAATCCACGGAAAGTGCTCCTGTTCAAAAATTGCTTAGTGAATTTTCTAATAATAGTTTTTCACAGTTTTCCTCTGATTTATGCGAAGCATTTTTAGCGGCAGAAATTCCACTGTGAAAACTGAACAATCCTGAGAAACTGAGAAACTTCATAGAGAAGTATACACAGTGCAAAGTGCCGGATGAATCTACTGTGCGCAAAAATTACGTGAAGCAGTGTTACGATCTTACAACTGAAAGGATTAGAGATAAGATTAAAGATTATTTTGTGTGGGTATCAATCGACGAAACACAAGATCGTGAGGGACGGTTTATTGCAAATTGTATAGATGGATTCCTTAATAAGAATGAACAATCTACCCCATATCTTCTTGCGGTAGAGCAATTTGAAACCACAAATAGCTGTGCAGTTTCCGAATTTCTTATCAATTCCTTGAATTTACTATCGCCGAATGGCATTCAGTATGAGCGCGTATTGCTCTTTGTGACTGATGCCGCAAGTTACATGATGAAAGCCGGTACTGCTCTTAAAGTTATATTTCCAAAAATGACACATTTGACTTGCCTTGCCCATGGGTTGCACCGTGTTGCAGAAACAATTCGTGCAAATTTACCGCTTGTTGACAATTAGTGTCTTCTGTGAAGAAGGTATTTGTTAAAGCGCCATACAGAGAAGAAGCATTTAAAACAGTAGCACCGAGCGTTCCACTTCCGCCAGAACCATTTTTAACGCCCTGGGGCACGTGGCTGTGTGCAGCGAGTTATTATACTGAACATTTAGAAACAGTTAGGAATGTCGTGAATACATTTGATCCAAAAAGTGCAGCATCAATTCAAATTGCCCAAGATGTACTAAAAAGCGCCGACATAGAAACTACTCTTTCCTATATATCGGCTCACTTCTCTCATCTTCCATCCGCCATTTCCTCACTGGAGGCAAGCAATAGCAATACTACTTTGTATCAGTCGTTAAGTGTGTTCAAAACCACTGTTTCCAAATTGAATTCGGTTCCTGGAAGAGTAGGTGAATTAGTAAAGGAAAAAGTACACAGCATTCTTTCCAAAAATCCAGGATGTGAACAAATTTTGTGTAATTGAAGAAATTTTATCCGGTAAACGTACTGAAATGCCAAGTAAAATATCACTAACAGTGGACAAATAGCGGCTTTTGTACACGCGTCCCTAAGTTCCTGTGAGGTGGGAAGAAGTTTTTCCCGCTATAAGGACATCTTACGAGACAGTAGGAGGCGACTAACTATGGAATCCTAGAACATTTAGTAATTGTGAACTGCAACAGAAGAGAAGTTTAAAGTTCGGAGAGGTAAATGTGAGTACCAATGGTTTTTTAAATTTGTAATGAAATACGTTGGCTTTGTTGCATGATTTCTATTTAAGTATAGTTTTTTTGCAAGTGAACCATTCATTGATTACATAAAATGAACTTAAATATTGATTTGTTGGTCTTAAAATAACGTAAAATCAATTTTAATATTTTGTATAAATTTTTATGTGCATATTTTAGTGCATATTTCGGAAGATTTTCATGCATAAATGCATAAATATTTAAGGGATTATAAGGGCATAAAAATCCGGTTCCTAGTGATCAGAAGTGACACAGTTGGAATGTAGCAGCAGTCGCGGAAAGAAGAACCGGACCCGTGTGATAATCAGGATAGTTTGTGATAAGTGAGTAATAATTGGGAGTGTGTGATACAGTGACACTTGTATAGCTCCCGTATAGTAATTAATACGGGTAGACTACTGAGGACAGAGTGAATTGATTATTGTGAATAGGGTTACAAAGTATGAAACCCCGCAACAGTGCTGTAATTAATTGTAGCCGAGACTGGTAGATTGTTAAATAAACCAATTAACAATCCGAACGGCGTCTTCAGTAACGAAACACCTTACAATATATATAAAAAAGGCCTAGGCATTGACCATCATGCGTAGGCAAAAATGTCAAACAGGTTTGTTGGCAGACCTATCTGCTGTGCAGAATTAGTACTATATATACACTAGCGCGATCAGTGCTCTCTGATTCTCTGTGTCGGCTATGGTACCGAGACCACACGTGACGCAAGTGATCACCACCACGGGGAGTAGGCGTAACTGTTGCATCTGTGTTACCGGATATTAAGTTTTTAATGGAAGTGTGTAAGTTTTGGGTATTCCTTAGGGAATCATTAAGTTTCCTCATATTTTTACAAATTATGGTGTACGTGATATTATTCCGCAGTTGCAAGTTTTAGTTGGGATTCAGCTAGACTTCGGAGCGACCATTCTGAGGGTTATGCTTCTAGTAGAATAAATATTTTTTACTGTTTTATGCCCTTTCTCGCCTCTTACACATACCAATCCGACTTGCAAAGGAAGTCGTGATAGGTGATGGCCTATATTGAACTGGTTGAAGTTGCAGGGCATACAAAAGCATTTTTGGGGCTCTGCAATGTAAATTTTTAGAGTAGCTTTGCTGTTTCTAGGACGTAAACCCGTGCAGTCTGGTACCTAGTTACCGACGGTTTGGAAGGAAAAGATTCACGCAAAATGGGTGAACTAGCTGCCTTCGAAACTGAGCAACACTAAGCTTCATAAACCCTGCCAGCCTCTACTGTGAGAACAAAGAAATGCACATCAGTGTGTGTTTGTTCACAGTAATTAGTATGTTTTCTTACAGACGTGGGCAAATATTCAGAGCTAGGTACTTTTACACTTGTTAGAAATATGATAATAATAATAATTTTATTTAACATTCATCACAGTTACAAATTGTAACTCGCAAAAAAGTCAGATACATATACAACTTCCAGTCTAATTGGCCTCCTGCCCAATCGATTGAACGTCATCATATCATATATCACATAACAAAACATTCAATTACAATTAAAATCACACTCTCGGTATAATTAAGATATATTAGGTACAATCAAATTTATGAATACCTTCCATTATAAAAAACAAGGTCATCTTACTACATATATCTTAATTACCATGCTATATCACTAGGATTCTTGTAAATCAATCATTTGCCACCCACAAATCATCATGTCTGATAAAATAAAGTTTCAAGGTTATGAAAGATTCTGCATTTTCTTGCAACAGGAATGCCGAGAATTGTGCTACAGAGAGCTGAAGAAACATTTCCTGCTGTGACAGAAAGGATGGTGAGTGTTTTGTGCTTGTGTGCACAGACAAGAATTTTATTGTCATCAGTCAATTGTCATATCTTAAGATATTAAACTTTTTATGCCAAGCTTGTGTTAGTTTTCATAATCCATGTGAGAAGTTTACATGGTTCTTCATATTATTATAACACTTTGCATTATTATGTAGGAGAGGGATCAGTTGAAGGAGAATGATATGGATAGGTCATGTAGCACACATGTCAGAATGAGAAATGCGTACAAAAATTTTGACTTGAAAGAATGAGACCACTTGGGAGACAATCGTGAAGATCGATTTTTTTAAAGATATAATTATGGGGGTTTTGGACTGGGTTTGTTTGTGTCAGGATGCAAAGTCGTGATGGGCCTGTGTGAACACAGTAATGAGTGCTTAGGTTTCATAAAGAGCAGATACATATTGTCTGTACTTCCACAAGGACCACAGGATTCTCAGGAAGATGCCTGCATTATGAACTTAACACTTCCTAAGATTATGAAGTCTGTAGAGAAGAAATCTGTACAGCCATGATATGTATACATTGGCCCTCTTGTAGTGCACTCAATTTCACCAATTTCACCTGTTACTTCCCAGGTGAAATTGAGTGCACTACAAGAGGGCCACTGTATATATATCATGGATGAAAATCAGTGCAACAGGACACTAAAATACAACATTAATCTGTACAGAGCAGCTGTTAAGGGTTAGATGTAATGAGAAACAGCTACAGCAAAGAGCATATATTGTTTCATGTATGGTGTTGTGCAGCCATTACTGACAGAAGATGTGATGCCTTTACAGAACTGTACAAATTCAGAGACGGTTTTAGTGGGTCCCTATGGTGAGATATACCCAGTAAGTCATGATGCAAACCAGGCCATGAATATAAAAGCTGAGGAAGTCTCAGACTCACAAGAGGAAGTGGATCCTGTGCAAGTAACAGTTCAGGAAGTAAAGGCTGAACCTGAGGTGAGCTGTATGTGTCTGTAAGTCCACTGTTAGGCAGATATCACAGATAGACAGGAATTTAAATTCTCTTTATCATCTCCATCTGTGTGTCTGTCTGTCTGTCTGTCTGTCTTTCTTTCTGTGCACACGAAGCAACTCCATTGTGCTGCTGACTCGCATTTGAAGCCTTTTTCTGAAGTGTCTCTAGACAGTTAAAGTTCGTTAAATGTATGCTGCTTGTGATGTACCACTTCCATTTCCTTTTAAGCAGTTCTGATGCGTGTGAAATCAATTTTTGCATAAACAGAACTGAATTTGAGAGAAATTCTATGGCAGCAAAAATCATTGGGGAGTGACAGAACTGTTCACAATTAGTTACTGGTACCCTCATTACAACCTTGAGGCACTATGTATAAGCTGGAAGGTCACGGGTTCAAGTCCTGATGAGGTGATTGGATTTTTTCTATTGACCGAACCCTTCATTCTGCATCATTAATGGAAATGAGTACCAGGAATATTCTTTGGGGTAAAGGGCTGCCGGCACGTAAGGCTGACAACCTTGCCGCCATCTATGAACCAGTTGTCTAGAAAATGTTGGAACCTCAACATCTCACAACCATATGGGCCTCCACGGCCTGTTAACAGGGATAGCTTTACTTACTTACTTACTTATACTTATCAGAACCAAAATTTTAAGTTACTAGGACTCTTGTGAGCTAATTCCTATGAACCCCATGGGATATTTATTATGTGATGAACAGGTTTCAAGGTTACAAAAGATTCTGCATTCTCCTGCAACAAAAGTGGCAAGAATTGTATTGCAGAGACCCAAAGAAAAATTTCCTGCTCTGATAGAAAGTATTGTGTTTCGTGCTTGTGTGCACAGACAAGAATTTTTTTGCGGTATTTCAAGTCTGTTGGCCAAAGAAACTAAATATTTTGTGACACACTTCTGTTTGTTTGCATAATCCATGTGAGGCATTCCTTACAATTGGGTGATAACGGTTTGGGATATTATATAGGAGAGCAATGAGTTCAAGGAGAGTGATGTGTGTAAGTCATGTAGTGCACATGCAACAGTGAGAAATGCATACAAAGTTTTGCACAGAAAACCTGAGAGAAGCAGACCACTTGGGAGACCTAAGTGCAGATGGGGAGATGCTGTTAAGATAGATTTTAAAGAAATAATTTGGTAGGGTTTGTACTGGGTCTGTTTGCCTTAGGATACAGAGCCATGATGAGCACAGTAATGAACCCTTTCTGGCTTTCTCATCATATCCTATATGCATTCCTCCTCTACCCCATGCCTGCTATGTGAGCTGCCCATCTCATCCTCCTTGACTTGATCATATAATTATGCTTGGTGAATGAAGGTTACAAGTTGTGGAGCTGCTCATTATGATGTTTCTAGGTACCAAAAAAGCAGATATTTTCTGTACTGCCACAGTGACCAGCAGTTCCTCGGGAAGGTCACTCTGCTGTGAATTGAGTACTTTCTAGTGCTCATGATAGCTGTAGAGAACATCTGTACTGAACAGCTCTTATGTGTTAGATGTGATGAGAAACAGCCATAGCAAGGAGAGCATACGCTGGTTAATGTAGGGTGTTGTGCATCCATTTCTGAGAAGGATGTGATGGTTTTACAGAACTGTACAAATTCGGAGAACGCTTTAGTGGGTCCGTTTGGTGAGACATACCCAGCACCTCATGATGCCAATCAGGTCATGAATGTAAAAGCTGAGGCAGTCTCATATGCAGAAGAGGAAGAGGATCCTGTCCCAATAACATTTCCAGAAATGAAGGCTGAGCCTGAGGTGAGCTGTATGTGCACTGTTAGGCAGATGACACAAATGTGCAGAAATGCCGCTTGTCTTTTTGATATGCATCTCTGTGAACATGAAACAACTCCACTCTGCTGTTAATAAGATTCTGAAGGTTTCTTTTTCCTGAAATGTCTCTACACAACTGGAGTTTGTTGAATGTTGCTTGTGATGTACCAGTCCCATTTTCTTTTGAGCAGATCTAATATAGATAAAATGAAATACTGTGTATACTGAATTTTTGCAGTAAATTCTATACAGGAAAAATCCTTCACATTTTCCATGTCTGTCCTATCCACTGAGCAGTGCTTAAGTTTATCATTTTTTTCTGTCTCCCTTGCAGTCTGTATTCATGTAATAACACAGACATATCATTGTGTTGAGGATTTGTAACAGGATAACTAATGATTCTCTAAAGGTTTGTGACAATGTGTGACATAGACATGTGTTCCCAGTTGCCCTCTGTTTGAAGTAAATTTAATATACCTGACACCGTTGGAGTTGACTCTGTACTTGCTGTCAGGTGATTGGGGTTGTCATTACAGTTTTTCTTTTTGTTTGTTTTCTGTCAGACAGAAAGTGACTAAACATTAGGTACGGAGAATGTGTAAAAGGTGTAGAAAGCAATAGTGAAGAATTGGTATTGGCAGCCCATCCTAAAATATAGATGCAATTGTGGTGAAGTTGAATATACAATGCATATAATTAAACAGATAAATAAGGCTATTAATGAATATCAAAGATATTTTATATATATGTACATATAGATGGAGGATCTTACTTTTCTAGCTCTGTGTTTCACAGCAACTGATGCACTGCTTGCTGCAAGGCGCATAGAGATTTTGCCAGTGAATCAGTATGCTTGTGGCCAGTAACATGTGGATTGAAGTATACAATTTACAAGTCACAGAAGGTGTTGAAAATGCTGTCCCCCTACACATAGACGTTCCTTGCACCAGCAGAAGGGGTTCTGATTAACCCTTAAAGTTGTTCTGCCAGAATTTTTGCAATTTCCCTATGAATATTTTTTTTTAGTTCCTCCTCATGGTGTTTTGTAACCGTTCCACTTCTACGCAACTTATTTAATGTAATCAACTTTATTAATTTGGAAGCTTAATTGTTCAAAATGAAATGCAGTTAACAAGGGTAGTGAGACATAGGTCAATTCTTGTATAGAAGAGTAAGCGTCTTCCCAGCTTACAACAAGAGACAGGAAGACACCCGTCAAAGGTTTATTAGTGAAAGCTGTGTTAAAGAATAGAGTAAAGAAATCTTTTGTAAATTCAATACTTGGCAGTTTGTGCATGCCATAACTTAAAAAGAGTGAAGTTTTTAGGGCCCAAGCGACGCTTAAGCATTTGTCACTTTCTGACAGAAATACGTTGGAGTCAAGAATCCTTAAACGCTTGAAAGCTTTAAACAGAATGGAGGAATATATAATTAAGATACTCCTGTTTTTCAAAATTAGCCAATCACTAAAGTTTAAGGGTGTGACAGGGCAGTGACGCTGGTGAAAGCAGGAATTGAAGGTTTGAGGAAGCGTCATGTTTTAGCATCAGTCGGAAAGGGGGACTCATTGGAAACAGAAGTAAATTCGGAAACCGGAGGTAGAAATAAACAGAAGTAAAGTCGGAAGCCGGGGCTCGTTGGAAACAGAAGTAAATTCGGAAACCGGAGGTTGAAATAAACAGAAGTAAAGTCGGAAAAGGGGACTCGTTGGAAACAGAAGTAAATTTCGGAAGCCGGGGGTCGTTGGAAACAGACGTAAAGTAGGTAACCGGGAATTGAAGGAAACAGATAAAAATTCAGGAAGCTGCATTTGTAGAATTAGCCGCAAAAAGTTACACACCGGGCTCCGAAGCAGTTAGACATAAAGGTTACTGACATTGAAACTGTATCAAAAGTGGTTAAACAAGTGTTCAGTATAATTTGTCCAAACTTGAGATGTGCTTGTGATTTGTGTTATTTATTCCTTTTCTGAGTTGTGGCCCGTTCAAGGCTCTGAGATAAGAGGTACTCAGCTCTACCAAACCAACAAAACCCCCTCCTTTAAAATAACCCTGAGATAAATTTAGCAACAAGAAAGAAGAACCTACTAGAGGCGACCCAGTGTGAGTGAAAAGAAGGGAGGAGGTGAGGACAGAGTCCAAAGGGCGGTAAGATTATTGTTTTAAACTTTGTCCTACAAAGAACCACAGAAGAAAATACAGGCTTACTACAAATGATTCATTCCATTTCAAAACACAATATTTTCCAAAATATTAGACATACAGATATGATTGATACATGAAAAGAACTGTAAACTCAACTGCCGATACCACCGCAGCATGCTCTGTTTCCATGGTGGTACTTTTCTATGCTCTGCTCTGAATGCACGCTGCACTGCAATACCAGACGAAAATCTCGCATATTCCAACACACAGAAACTCTTTTCCAGCTTCGTCTCCATTTTGTGAGGCACTGCACTCCTGCTGCCAACTGGTGTATCACGATGCAAAGTTGGTGAGTTTGCGGTTCTTTTCATGTGTCAATCATCTTTGTATGTTTAATACTTTGCAAAATATAGTGTTATGAAATGGAATGAATCATTTGTAGTAACACTGTATAAGAATTAAGGTCGGGTGAATGTGCTGCCAAATACCAGTGCTGATATTTCTGTCCCTGAAGGTATCGGACAAATCCTGCATAGATGTACATGAAATGTGGGCAGTAGGTGAGTCTTGCTGAAACCAGGCATAATGTCTTTCTGCTTTTGTAACTCTCGAAAGAATTGTCGGAGAATGATCTGTATATCTGTTTCACAATTAATTGTTCTGTTAAAGGAATGCTGGTAGAGCAATCATCTTTACCCTTACCACATACCAGACTCCATCTTTCATTCAGTGGAGCCATACTTGATGGGTTAGATGTGGATTCTGTGAATTCCGGTACCAATAATTTCTTGTATATATATATGTCACTTCTAGTGAACCCATGCTTCATCAGAAAAGTATGTCAATTGTGGATCAATCTCATCTTCAATGATACACTGTAGAAACCAAATGCAAAAATGAATTTAGAATGTTGTTTATTAGTCCTGCTAGCATTTATATTTATATTCCTACAGCACATTTTGGAAACTGGATATACATTTGTCACAATGGACCAGACCATGAAAGTATTATATATATAAAGAAAGGACCTAAACTCAACACATTAGAAAGATGTTATATATATGAGACATAATGAAGAAATGTCTACAGATGAACGATACGTTTACAGAAATACATAATCCCATATTAGACATTCTAGTAAAAACACATGCCAAACAACCCCACCCCTTCCCCATCAATTCAACCGCTCACAGTATCCACCCCCTATCTCATACCACTCGACTCTCTACAAACAGATGCACATATACAGATACTCCCCAAGCAAGTAGTCTACACCGAACCGCTACAGCATAGTGACAGCATCAACACAGGGAGCAGCCCATACACATATACAGATACCCCGCAAGCATGTAGTCTATACCGAACCGCTACAGCATAGCGACAACATCAACACAGGGAGCAGCCCCTACACATATACACATACCCCTCAAGCAAGTAGTCTAGACCAAACTGCTACAGCATAGCGACAGCATCAACACAGGGAGCGGCCCATACACATATACAGATACCCACCAAGCAAGTAGTCTAGACCGAACCGCTACAGCCATAGCAACAGCACCAACGCAGGCAGCAGCCTGTACATATACAGATACCCTCAAGCAAGTAGTCTAGGCTGAACCACTACAGCTTAGCAACAGCATCAACTCAGGGAGCAGCCCCTACACATATACTCCACAAGGAAGTAGTGTAGACCGAACCGCTACAGCATAGTGACAGCATCAACACAGGGAGCAGCCCATACACATATACAGATACCCCTCAAGCAAGTAGTCTATACCGAACCGCTACAGCATAGCGACAGCATCAACACAGGGAGCAGCCCGTACAGATATACACATACCCCTCCAGCAAGTAGTCTAGACCGAACTGCTACAGCATAGTGACAGCATCAACACAAGGAGCAGCCCATACACATATACACATACCCCTCAAGCAAGTAGTCTATACCGAACCGCTACAGCATAGCGACAGCATCAACACAGGGAGCAGCCCGTACAGATATACACATACCCCTCCAGCAAGTAGTCTAGACCGAACTGCTACAGCATAGTGACAGCATCAACACAAGGAGCAGCCCATACACATATACACATACCCCTCAAGCAAGTAGTCTAGACCAAACCGCTACAGCATAGTGACAGCATCAACACAGGGAGCCGCCCATACACATATATAGATACCCCCCAAGCGAATAGTCTAGACCGAATCGCTACAGCATCGTGACAGCACCAACACAGGAAGCAGCCCCTACACATATACAGATCCCCCCCTAAGCAAGTAGTCCAGACCGAACCGCTACAGCATAGCGACATTCTGTACACATATCACCATAAGGAAATCAAATATACATAAGTACATATACTTAGATGCAATTCAGCAACTGAGTCTGATATTGTATGCCTGTTAATGACCCACTATAATGGTAGAAACATGTAGCATCAATAAAACCAAATGTTGATATGATGGTGTCTGCTTTGCTTTAAATATAGAATTTTGTTGTGTAGAGTGCATACTTCTGTATACTTTGATGTATATCTGCAAGTAGTGGCCATTTTCTGGCCAAAGCCAAATGTTAACACTGTCAAGGAATCTTGTGTGGCAACCTATGAGATGACTCATTTGGATTTGCTCATGGTATCAAGGTGGACATGTCTATTGAACTGGTGCCATACTGTTGCATCTTTTTGAGGCCTTTTATATATACACACACACACACACACACCTATATACAGGGTGTCTCAGGAGAAATGTGCCAGACTTTGGGAGGGTGTTCCATATGTTAAAGTATGCCGATATAACCCAAAACACCTATGTCCAAAGTTGAAGGTTACGGAGATAATGGCCCGAGAAAAGCGTGGTCTTCTGGCGGGTCCACGCACTGTACCTGTCAGCTGGCTAGCCTTATCTATGTTTGTCCTTGAGTGTGGTGATTCGCACTAGCCGTAAGCTTATGTGCTGCCTACAGAGTACATTGCGGCCACGTCATGAATGGTTGGTAAATTAGTTGTGCGGAGTTGCTGAAATGCCTTTTGTGTTTTCACACGTGGAATATTGTGATATAGATTTTGTTGTGGCAATGCACGTGCTGCTGTTGAAGAATACCAAAGGCATTTTCCCGATCAAAGGATTCCATCTGAAAGTGTATTTACGTGTATTCACCAGACATTGCGTGATACTGGTTCTCTTCCGAATGTTTCTGTGCACTCTGAAAGGGAGGATGTACAAATGAGAAACACATGAGAGAACATTCTTGAGATGGCGTCTGTCCACTCGTAGAAGTGCCTCTCGCATCGGCGTATCACGTATGCAGGTGTGGCGAACTTTACATGATTAAGAGTTGTATCTTTACCATGATCGAAACATACAACATCTGGAGCCAGGCGACCATGCTCAGCATATGGATTTGTGCCACTGGATAGAAGCTCATGCCGAACTGTTAAGCGTCATTTTATTCAGTGATGAGGCGTCTTTTACCCGGGACAGTGTAAATAATTTACAGAATGTGCATACGTGGTCCCATAATAATCCACATGAGATAATGGTAACGAAATTCCAA